AGTGACTCACTTGTTCTCTGACCAGTTGAGACTGAACGGGGAACAGATGAGCCAAAACGCAATAGGCAAAACAGAGGTTGTCATCCACATTTTTAATGTCTAACAGGCAGTGCTTTTTCTCTAACGAAGGGGGGAGGGGAAGATATGAACTTCCGCGAAAGGGTTGAAATTTGACCACGGATAATTTCACTCTCTACACAGTTTCAAAGTTTAAGTTTGAACTATCTCCTTCGTAATTGTCCATTAGTTTCATGATTGTATTTATGACTTCAGTGTACAACGCATCCAAATCATCAGCTTGGGTGGCTAAAGACATTTTGGTTCTAAAGTAAGGCTCACTAAATGTAGTCAGACCATCAGAGTTTGTTTTGCTGAATCTAAATTGGGTACAAAGTCCCCATTTAATACTATATTTTGTTTCAATTTCTGTTTTCAAGTGATGAATCATGTCAGGTTGAATTTTCACAAAATAATAGTAGGGATCATTTCCCTCTTTGCCCTGAGGAATAAAATCAAATTCCCTGACATTTTCATTTATTGCTTGTCTGGAACATGACTGTTGATTATCTACATTAGTTTTCCTACGTTTAGCTGCCGCCCCTCCACCACTTTGTTGAATTGAATGGGTTTGTCTCCTGTGTTTAGTGAGATCTTTCACAGATGGGAAAGTGGTCGAACATGTATGACAAGTAAAAGTAAAGGTAGAAGTAGAAGTAGATGGTTGTGGATCTTTGTGTTGACTTCTTTTTATGTGTCTTTGTAAGCTATCACTACGGTTGAATGATTTGGAACATATTTGACAATCAAAATGTTTGGAAGCTGGGCCACAATTTCTCTGATGTCTAACAATGTTCTGTTTGTTGCTGTAGGATTTTTGACAAAACTCACATGTATACACAGGTGTTGTAAATGGGGTAGACATTTTTTTTTTTACATAAAGTCTAGCAAACAATGTTCTTTGAATACTTTTTATCTTTCTGAAATAAATTATTAAAAATAAATAAAAATAGATTGGTATGTCTGTGTAGACTAATGAAGCCAACATGATGATTTCACAATTATAATAGATCCTCAGATAATGGGTTTTTAAAAAATTGAAACAATGATATGAAATACTTGTAATAACATAAAACGTATAATTAAAATACATTTTTTAAAAAGATATGGTCTATTAATAAAAAAAATTAAACTCTTACCTTCACACAGAAAATATATCTCTCCCAAATTGAGACCAAAAAGTTCTGTGGTATAGAGAATAAGCACAATGTTCATTCATGAACCAAGAGAGACCAAATGCAGTATTTTAGGTCACAACACTGTTATTTATAGGGTAAAAAAAAACAGGTGTATTCAAATTACAGTAGGGCTCGAGTAACGGTAACTAGAGACGGTCTCAGAAACGCACTTGTTTTTCAAGTATTTCCTTTCACAACAGTCGTGTTTACACAAGTGTTTCCTTTCAACTGTGCTGGGGAGGGAATCAGTCGTCCATCTCAACAGCAGGGGAAAAAATATTGAACTTGTTCTGTGTGTCTAAAACGTTCTGCTTTAATGAAATTAAAATCACTGGCTTATTTATCGATATGACACATGCGGGTTAAGGGTGGCTCTATTTTAGATTTGTTTTTTGGGTTAGGTAGTATGTGAACTGAGCAATGCGGTCCACATGTTGGAATTGGTTTGGTTTAGACTCAAATTCACGATGCAAGTTATCACTACGATATAAATGATAACGATTTGAGAAAAAAAGACAGCTTCTGTTTTGGGTATTCTTTTCCCAAAGAGCTTCCATGAGTCGGTTGAGGTGGAACGAGTCATGGATGTGTGTACTGCTGACTCCTCCATGGTAAATGAAAAAAACTATCACCAACTCCTGCATTTATTCATATATTTTTTTTCATATACATGTGACCTTTCTCAAACACTAACTGGAGACGGCCTTGTTGATATGAGTAGTTCCCTTTTCAAAACAGCCTCGTGTTTACAAGAGTGTTTTTCCTTTCAACTGTCCGGGGAACGCCTTGTTGATACAACTGATAAAAAATAATCTGTAGCTTCATTCGAATAACAGTAACTGGTGACGTTTTTAACACACCCTCGTTGTTTTAAATATTTCCTTTCAAAACAACCTCGTGTTTACACAAGTGTTTTTCCTTTCAACTGTCCGGGAATGCCTTGTTGATACAAATGATAAAAAATAATCTGTAGCTTCACTCACTCGACTAACAGTAACTGGAGACGTTTCAAATACGCGCTCGTTGATTTAAGTGTTTTCTTTCAAAACAATCTCGTGTTTACACAAGTGTTTTTCCTTTCAACTGTCCGGAAATGGTTTGTTGATACAACTGTTAAACGAGGTTATTGGTCAAGGTAATACGAGGTCATTGATCGCATGACAACAACATCAACACCCCCCACCCCCCAAGGTCAAGGTTATGTGACGTCATCAGTCACGTGAGGTTACTAGGTGCACTTGTGACGTCATCAAATGTGGATGTGTGGATGGATACTTATCACTTATCTACTACTGGTAACTGGAGATAACGGGGTCCGACTGTATTTGTAACGGAAACATCATGTACTGGGACGATTACACCAGAAGCCATGTTTGCCTTATTCTTCGATTCAAGGAACAAACAATTGATATTTCATCTTTGCCTGGTAACAAGAATGCCAAAAACTTTGTATTTGCAGCAGAAAATGACAAAAAAACTTATTCCAATCATCATTAATTTATGAGATTTGTTCCTTTTGTTAGTTTTGTGTTGAATTGTTTATTCTCTCCGTTCGAACATCAGGATACAAGAGAAAGTTATGATCACAAACTGATTTTGAACGAAACAGGTTCAAAATCCAAACCATATCGTGTTCGATGTAAACACATCAGTATCTTATATTAAAAGGGCGTCCCTGTTTATCCTGCAATGCTGGAGGCCTTGGCTATGCTGAGGAGGAACCACAACTATTAGTGATATGTGACAGCTAGTCCCAAACGAGATGAGAACGCTCCACCAATCATTTCATCAATAAATCAACAACTGGAACCTTTGTGAGGCTTATGTCAACCGAAATATTCATAGTTATTGTTTGGTAAAAGTTCTTTGTCAACTACTGAGGATTACCAGCACAACATCTACCACTGTAACATAAAGTGTGTTGTGATCCACCCGTTTATTCAGCGTGTACATGTATTCATTTTTTTCATCTTGTTTGTATTTTGGGTCTGTCTGTCATAGATCCATATCTGATTCCAAAACAATCATTATTTATACATAATTTTCTTACCTGTTCTTTTTGTCTTAGTCATTAATAATGGCAACCTTCACATCAACAAAATGTTGAATCAAATACGAATTGAAACAATAACTATGCTTCATATAATGTGGTGTAAATGTTTTGTTATTTTCAATCATATTTTGGTCATCAGTCTGACTAACGCTTCGTTATAACAAAGGCATTGGGAAAACCCATACTCCAGACAGGAGTCAGTCCGACGCGCCCCGAAAGTGGTGTTGTGTAACAACTCGATTGTGAAAATTGGGTGTGACCATCATTTGCGTCGACACAGGCCAGACTCGTGAAGATCCAGGTTATAATAATAGGTCTTCAGCTTGCGGCAAGAGGCGACTATGCTTGAAAGAGGCGACTAACGGGATCTGATGGTCCAGCTTGTTGATTTGGTTCTCCCATGAGTTGTGATGCCACCCCATACCATTACACTTCCACCCCGAAACTGACGACGTTGGGTAACTCAAGCGTCGCTTAAACGTTCATCTTGACGCCTTGCACGAGCATCAGAGCTGTCCAGATATACTGTCCCAGTCTTGCTTCAGAACCTGCTTCAAGCTAGGCGTATCTGACGGTGACATAGACGCACTATTTATTCGTTACGCCGGACGTCGAGGCCGGATTTTGTTCTCCCTCAACCGGTTGTGTCGTGTTCTGCCACTAACTGGTCTCAGTCAAGGATTTTACGAGCTGTTAATGCGCTAGCTTAGTATCGAATCAGTAAAAGTACCGACCGAATATGGTTGTCTTGTTGACGTGACGTTACACGCTGATGGCAAGTCATGAGTGTTGCCCTGCTGTAAATTTCCAAGAGATGTTTTTGTGTTGTTATGAATATTTACACATCTAGCATGTTCGTTTTGTGCCATTCGTGTTTGCAGCACGCCCGTGGTGACCCATAGACTGGCTATCATATATGGCAAGGGGATGTGGTCACTGATTCATGAACAAGAATGGGTAGTTTGACTTTATACTAACATGTATCTACGGAAGCCTTTTAGGGCCATTTGTTTTTTAAAAATTTGTCGATACTATCTTGAAATTTCAAGATATTAAGTTGAAATTTCAAGATACTAGGTTGAAATTTCAAGATAATAATTTTTTAACATCCTAAGATGTAAAAATACGTTTGAAGTGAATAATCTTGAAATTTCAACTTAGTATCTTGAAATTTCAACTTAGTATCTTGAAATTTCAACTTAAACGCTTTTCCACTATCAGAACTTTTCACGAGATTAAACGTTAAAAGCAAAAATAGTTTAAAATCTGTGCTCGTTTGGTTTAAAACTTTCGCAATGAGCCGTTGTTGGTGGAAGGCTCACCATGTTTGTTAAACAGATATGAGGTTTGATGTAAACTGATACAAAATGTCGATAAGAGCTTTTGGCACCTTCGGAACCTGACTGGGAGGTGTGGTGCACTTGTGTTGTGAAGTCTCTCCCATGCAGCTGCCAGCCATCAAATCTTGGGAAGGGTTTTAGTACCGCCTGTTTTATTGACAGGTAACATCCTGCTTACATGGTACAAGGTGTTAGATAACAAGGTACACACGGCATGTGTTCGTTGTAATCGCCTAGATCTGGATTTTAATATGAATGGTGCCACTTCGATTGAATAAACAAAGGCCTGCAGTCATGATGATAATCAATATTGTCACAAGTTACCATCTATATAACACTGACAAATTTGATCAATTTGAACACTGTCAACAGTTCTCCAGCAAGGTAAGACAAACCGTATTTTTTTACAAGTTATGTTCAGATAATATATTAATGCTATGTTACTACCTTGTGTTGTTATGGCACGCAAAGAGGCATGGTACTAAGAAAGACTGACGACACTCTGGCTTCATATGTTTGAGCGTGTGTTTGCGTTGTAAAATAACCGCAGAATTTGTATATTTGTATATGTTCTTGGGGTAGATGGCAATGGTACCTGAAGTGGTGAGAACGTTCACAGGCCAAATCACCCTCAGCTACCTATCTCCATGCAGGCAGGTCTTGCCTTAAAATTTGGTGAAAGAGTATTTCATGGGCTAGGTACAATATATATTCGCGAGAAGTACAACACAACACAAAACAGTATTACCGCCTGCCTCGGGATGACGCGTTCCGCTTGGGTGGGAGAACGCGCCAAGTTTGAGTGACACACGAGTGACGGGACGCGTCAATCACGTACTCGTGGTGGGTTGCAATGCAGACCGCGCTCAGTTTGAGTGGCACAGGAGTAACGGGACGCGTGAATCACGTACTCGTGGTGGGACGCTTTGCAGAACGCGCCCAGTTTGAGTGACACACGAGTGACGGGACGCGTGAATCACGTAGGCGTGGTAGGACGCAGTGCAGAACGCGCCCAGTTTGAGTGACACACGAGTGACGGGACGCGTGAATCACGTAGGCGTGGTAGGACGCAGTGCAGAACGCGCCCAGTTTGAGTGACACACGAGTGACGGGACGCGTGAAACACGTAGGCGTCCAGTTTGAGTGACACACGAGTGACGGGACGCGTGAAACACGTAGGCGTCCAGTTTGAGTGACACACGAGTGACGGGACGCGTGAAATACGTAGGCGTCCAGTTTGAGTGACACACGAGTGACGGGACGCGTGAAACACGTAGGCGTCCAGTTTGAGTGACACACGAGTGACGGGACGCGTGAATCACGTAGGCGTGGTGGGACGCATGGCAGGACGCGTGACAGTCGTCGGTGCATTATACAGTTGAGAAGCCAACTGTTGAACATTATTTGTTTGTATAACCTATTATAATAACCGGCATTACGCCGGCATTACACCGGCATCACAACGGATGGTCGGGTAGCCTGGTGGTTAAAGCGTTCGCTCGTCACGCCGAAGACCCGGGTTCCATTCAGGACATGGTTTCAATGTCTGAAACCCATTTCTGGTGTCCCCCGCCGTGATATTGCTGGAATATTGCTAAAACCGGACTAAAATCCAACTCACTCACTCACTTTCTTCGAGAAAAGTCTTCACATATAAAAACGGATCGTGATGGGATTACCGCGCTTTTTTCACCACTTCCCTGTGAAAGCTACAAATAGAAATATCATTATTTAGGCGCAGTGATTTTGAACATTTTGATCGTGAGAAATGAAATCGTATTGTACCAGGAATAATATTCTGATATTTTGAGCTTATTTCTGATTTTAGGTTATGGAAATAAACATAGTACGTAGAAATGTTACCGGATAGTTTTTATGATGGCAATTGGTTTGCTGAATAAATTTGTTAGATTGAACATGATCAAGGTCAACAAGAACTACACGTAATACAATATCATGCAAGATACTGGGACTAACGCTCGTACTTCAATGACTATTTCTTGACATGTTAAGTGCAAGCAGTAATAGTTGCGCCTTGTGATGGAAAGTTGTAACACATGGTTAGCATGAATAATACGCACTGAACAACCATGCCACAAACGCACGCACACACGCACGCACGCACGCACGCACATACACACACACACACACACACAAATCTGAACAAAAGAGGCTCGATACTCTCAAGAAAATAATGTACTCTTCACAAAAAGTAAGGATTATTCGGAAATAACTTAAGGTTTCCAATATTGTAAGAAATATTTAATTCTAGTAATGGCTATGTGATGGCAAAGAATGAATTGAGAACACTACAACCGGTACTGCAGTGTAACGGGATAGGTTATGACCGCCAACGATTGTGAAGAACGATAGGGGTAAGATCGGACAAAATTTCAAAGATGACATTTCTTAGATCGGTAGAGCGTAATACCGGCACGAATTGTCGAACAGTCCTTCACACGACGAGGCATGCTGCGTACGAGTCTCCCAAAGGTGATTTGAGGTAGCCTGTGCCACTCCTCTTCCAAAGCCTGGCAACTTCAGCCAACGTGGTCTGCGGCCTATGGCGTTGACGCACACGTCTCCCTACGTTTTGAATAGGGAAAGGTCTGGGCTCATTGCTGGCCGCGGCATTCTATGGCAGTTGTGGTGCTGGAGGAGGGTATTGAGGATTCATGCACGGTGAACACCAACGTTGCCGTCCTGAAAAACAAAACGTCGAGTTGGGTTTAGTCAGTCATAGTGATGCAACCATACACCATAACCAATCCACCGCCAAATCTGTCATAAGGTATATTTCAATGATTACGTCATTGAATCTTTATTGGCATTCCTTTATGCATGTATCGGCTGACTTGGCTCATAGCATCTGCACAATCTTGTTTTTATATTCAGTTTTATGTGCATCGCACAGTGATGTTATGATGATGGTGGAGTTGGTTGATGTTGAGATGCTACCTATGAGAGGTGGCCATTGGCAATATAGTGAATGTGGCTGATAGGGGATAGGTGATGGCGGCATTGTACACGTCATCGGAACAAGACATATTGAGATGAACAGCAACCCTGCAGAGTCTTTCGCTTGGATGAAGTCGGCTTGGCTGAAAAGTGAAACAGAAGGCTTTCTGTTTGCTGCTCAGGACCAGTCACTTCCGACTCGAAACCGTCAATGTGTGATTTTGCATTAAACTGTAAATATGAATGTAAATTATGCAATGAATTTAGTGAGACTGCCCAACACATTGTAAGGGGATGTCCAGCTTTGACATAAACACAGTATCTTAATCGACATGATGGCGTGTTTCGATCCTTTTATTACCGTCTTCGCCATGCTTGTTCTAATCTGCGTAGGTTTCTCTTTAGCTATACAGATATACATTTTATAACCGCAGCGTTCGTTGATGACAGAAACTTGGATAAGGGGGCTGCCAAAACATTTGACTACTCCACTGAATATAAGGGTATTCCAAGATAAAATGAAACTTATCAATATGACGTGTATTACAGTTACGACATTAAAAACACATTTAGGGGTCCTCATCTGCTTTGTACTGCACTTTCATCTACTGTGATGCACAACGAAATTTACAATATACTATTGATGAATCCTCAGAAGGAAATAATTTTATTATGTACTTTTGAACATCCATTATAGTTTTGAAACCATAATACAAATTTATAAAAGAGGAACTTGATATCTGATCATGCAAATATCTGTAACAATATATCTTTACATCTCTGTGAAATCATGCTGAAAAACTTTAATATTACCACAATCCTGAGTGATCCAGACAAATGATAAACCAGTTACAAATTATAACTTACGAATGTGAGAGAATCAATTCATTGTACCATTATCCTAAAAAATCCCTAACATATCAAAGCAAGCCCTTGGCTACCTGGAACTTTCCAAGTGAAGAAGTCTGCACCAATAACCTATACATCGACTGTAATAATCAACACACATGTAACTGCCTACTTCACCTAGTAATGTAGCACTGCTTGACGTGCGTCAAGTGACAACCAGGCACCTCTTTAGATAGCGTGAGTATTGTGTTTCATATCAATAGTGTTTCAAAGGTGGCACAATAGTGCCAGGAAAGTGCCAGGATCGTATAAGGTGATATCGTGAAAATAGCGCGAAAATATCTCAAACGTGGCGCAAGAATTCGGGTTTTTGCCTCAAAATACGCAATCAGTTTATACTTTAGTGATGCATAAGTCGTCGGGAAATGTTCGTGCACTTCCTGTACGAACAGACTAACATCTTACGCACTTACGAAATATGATAAAGCAATAACGCATTCTGTTTATGTATTTAACCTAAACATAAAATATTACATATACAAATCAGTAATAAACAGAATAACACGGCATTGACTCCAATTAATTACCGTAGTCATTTAAATATGATAATTAATTTCGTGAATACATGTACTTCATAAAAATGTTCGTTCAAATCTACATTATTTACATATACCATTACCATATTCATTTCGTGGTTATGTTTTTTGCCTAGCTCCGTAATAATAGGAAACGTAGTCAACAGAGTACTCGTAATGCATTACCATAGTCACCCGAAAAATCACCAATAAAACCTACCATTTCTCTCTGTGGAACAAAACTATGTTTTGAAATTCGCATCTTTATTCGAATAAATCTGCGTATATATGACCTACATATGGATTTTATTCCTTAAGTTTTATTTTTAATATTATTCATAAATCCTTTCCGAATTCAATCAAATCGGCACAAAATACCTCACATAGATTTTCCATGTGCACTTTACCGTATATTCTTTATGAAAGTGTCAATTACTCTATGTATCTTTGCACTAAATGTTATGAATCATTACCCAGGTACCCCAGTAAATGTTAAATGCTTCGTATAATGGTTATGTGTGCATTTACCGTACATACGCCATGTAATTGTTTTCGTCAATCAAATTTACATTAAACACACGTTATCACCTGTGTCATATTAATTTTATCCTTGCCTGTGCCGTAAGATATTACCTCAGTCTGAAAATTACTCTTAAATGTTTCCGACTTGGAAACATTGCAAGTAGCTCTGTACTCAATATATTAGTGAACATGACACCACGGCTATATTTGTAGAACTAAGAAGTATGACGATGCTGCTGTTGCTGACGACTGTAGTGGCTGCTGCTCTGGTGGCGTCTGTTGCCAACGGGATGTGTCTGCGTGAGTATTTAGGACAGTCTTCATTGCCATAGGTAGCAAATAAAGAACCAGTTTAGCCTGGGCTGATTATCGTTGGCCAGTATTTTTTCTACGGTCGCTGAACTACTAGGTTTTGATAAGTTTGAGCAGTTGTGTCTTTAGGGCAATGCTCTAACACCATAACACAATGACTCTCTTGCTGAATATGTTATGTTAATATTGAGAGATTCTTGACAATGACAAGATCTGACACAGTCCTTCATAAAATATTGCAGGGTACTGTTCTGTGCTTCTTCAAAGTTAAGCTCATAGTTCACTCAGAGACAACATAACTAGTAGGTCAGTACGACCTCCTGCCAAAGGGTAATATCTACTTCATGTCCATGGTAGAATTACTCATACGTCTGCCACAGGGGAATATAAACATTATGTTCGTGGTAACATCACTAATAGGCCAGTGCCACATTCTGTCAAAGGGTAATATCTACTTCATTTTCGTGGTAACATCACTAATAGCCCAGTACCACATTCTGCCAAAGGGTAATATCTACTTCATTTTCGTGGAAACATCACCAATAGGCCAGTGCCACATTCTGTCAAAGGGTAATATCTACTTCATTTTCGTGGTAACATCACTAATAGCCCAGTACCACATTCTGCCAAAGGGTAATATCTACTTCATTTTCGTGGTAACAATACTAATAGGCCAGTACCACATTCTGCCAAAGGGTAATATCTACTTCATTTTCGTGGTAACATCACTAATTGCCAAGTACCACATTCTGCCAAAGGGTAATATATACATTAAGTTCGTGGTAGTCTCGTTAAACCATCGCGTGACCTATTTGGGACTTTAAAAGTCCTGATACATTTGCTGAGCCTGTGAATGCATTGCCTTACTCTGTGTTTATTAAGAGTTCTGATGATTTATAAGGTCGAAGACATGATATCAGGAAGACATCACGGGATTTCTTATAGTAATCTATTGTCCAATGGGAACCTATTGTTTCTGGGTCATAAGGGTACAGGCTACGTGAGTCAGTGTGTGATAGGATTTCCTCCGTCTATTTTAGTAGGTCATGTCATATAAGCAATTTCCTTGTAGAAATTAGTAAACATATCATAGAATTAGCATGTCCCATATGCAACTATCATTCTTTTGACTGAACTGTATTAAATATTGGGATTTTACGTTTGTAATCTACCATTTTCTGCCCTGCATGTCGTTCAGCCTACGTAGAACTTGAGACTACAACAACTTTCAGCTACCAATCCCTCCACAAACAGGGCGTTGATTTGGCTCCTGGCGCCACGTCATTCAAGTTCAAGGTTAGCCAGGAATTTACACCATGTCATTATGAGTTCATAGGATTAATCACTATTTTTCATTTCCTATGCTGTCAAACCAGTGTGTGATTCATTGTCGTTATTGCAAGAGGTGAGGTGAGGTGAAATTGGGTTTAACGTCGCGTCCAACATTATTGCACTTATATAGCCACGTCGTTATTGCAAGAAATGATACTAAAGAAAACTGGTTCGATAAATTCAAAGTTCTAAAAGTAAGTTGTTTTCTCCAAGGTCCGCGCGGCAAACGATGCTCACGTGGCCTTGCTGCAGGATGATGGGGTAACCAATCAGAACCTATATGAGGTGGTGATTGGAGGATGGAACAACACCCGATCAGCTATCAGGGCAGGGGTGCAACACAATAGCAGAGTAGAAGCTCGCCACACACCACTGAGTGCAGACCAGTTCCGTGATTTCTGGATTTCCTGGGGGAATGGCGTGATCTCTGTTGGATCGGGGATGGAAGTCGGAGTTGGGAAGTTCATGAACTGGACGGACCCCTCCCCTCATGCCATAAAGTACATCGCTGTGTCTACTGGATGGGGGTCAACGGGACTGTGGAGGTTTTGTAAGTACCTTAGCGTCACCGTCAGCAGTAAACAATGATATGCATGACAAGAAATATACACAAAGAAAAAAGTTAAGCACAGTCTAATATATTTCATTATTGTTTGGTCCCAATATTTGTCACTTTCGTGTAAGATATAATTCCGGGAAGAATTATGTTTTCTCGAGATGATGTAATCGGTCATGCGTCATGGTATGCCAGTGAATCGTGCTACCCTCGAGTATCTCTAAAAGCAGTATATCCAAACGTTAAAATTGCTTTCTTAAGTTCGGTTTTAAAAAGTTATTCCAGGACATTGTGTGACCATGGCACGAAGGCGATTATCACAAGATGGCAAATAATGGCATGCATAACGCAGGAATGTCTTGTAGTGCCATTGGTCGGAATTGGGGGTATCATCACACTGTCGCAAGCCATTTAGTCGAGAAACATGCTCAGGACCGTCCCAGTTCTGGAAGATCTCCTGTGACGACACATCGCGAAGACAGGGACCTTCTTCGTCTCATACGCCGAGAACCCTTTTTAACAAGTACTTGTCTGAAACAGCTGTGGTTACTCAATCGTCGTTTCAACACCAGAACCGTCAGGAACCGTCTGAAAGCAGCAGGACTGAGGGCTTGACGAGTCATAAAGCGTCCCTTGTTGAGAGATCACCACAAAGCTGCTCGTTTAGCATGGTGTATTGCGCGACAGAACTGGAATCTGAGAACTTGGAGACGGATCCCTTGGTCAGACGAAAGTCGCTTTCTGCTCCACGTCACTGATGGAAGATCGAGAGTTTGGAGGCACCGGAACACGGCCTACACCCATAGGAACATTAAACCGACTGTTGCTCGGTAATGGTTTTGGGGTGTATCTCTCATGATTGCAGGTTGGATTTGGTCATAAGGGACAACCTAACAGGGGCTCAGTACATCCGGGGCGTTTTGAGGCCAGTCGTCGTTCCTCATTTTGACAACCTCTTGCTACTCGACCTCAGTACATGGATGACAATGCCCGGCCTCATCGTTCGCATGCAGTCGTTGATTACATGAGGGCCAATGCAATAACGACTCTACCCTGACCAGCAATGAGCCCAGATTTGAACCCCTTTGAACATGTTGGGATATTCTGGGGCAGCGCATACAGGCACGATATCCTCCTGTACAAGATTTATGCAAATTGGATGCAGCATTGCATCAGGAGTGGTTGTTGTTGACCCATCAACAGACCCAACGTCTGACTGGAGGCATGAGAAGTAGGATGGAATGCGTCTTCCGGGCACATGGCGGTTATACCCTCCACTGATCTGTTTCACGTGTCGTGTCAAGTAGAGACTTTAAGGAACATTTTCCCATAACTCGTTTACTTAATCCTGCAGCTTCAACTTCAGCTTCAATCTTTATTTGTTGTCAAATGTATGTTTTATCCGATGACATTGGTATGGCCCAGCTCCTATGGTCAGTCATCCCATGATTTTAGCCATTTGTCATGGTTAAGAAATAGGGGTGTGCTTAACTTTTTTCTTTGTGTATAGAAAACGTGTGACTTCCTTTTCTCAAGTTTAAATTTGTTTTCACAGTTTATATAAACTACATGTGAGGCTTGCTACTTGTCCCAACCGAAGTTTAATGGAAAACATCAATTATATTCTTCGAAAAAGAAACGCAATATGGACATTTTAGCAATAAAAACAAAATTAGCGGTCCAAGAGGTGCCAAATCAAGATGTGCTGTAGTGTCAGTGATACATTTTCCATTTCAAAATGATCACAACAAGGACATGCAAACCATTAGTCGGGAAACACAAACGATTTTGTGTATTGCCTGGCATCTGCGTCAATCGAACAGTGACAGTTCAACAACATGCCAAGATTAACAGAAGTTCAACGAATCAACGTCGTAGGCCGCTTGCAGGCAGGGGAATCCCGATCGGCTGTAGGCAGGGTTTTCAATGTAGCGCTCAGCACCATCACAATGCTATGGGATCGGTTTCAACAGCAAGGGTCAACACGTGATCGGCCAAGGTCGGGACGACCAAGACTAACCTACCCGCCCAAGATAGCTACATCTGACTGTGCCACCTACGTGTAAGGACGACCACAGCCACCTCAACCGCATCCCGCATACTCGGACTGCGCAGAATCTCCGACCAAACCGTGCGAAACCGTTTGAGAGCAGAATGTCTATGCATAAAACGTCCTGTTCGCCGCGTCATATTGACTCGACAACATCGTCAACAACGACTGCATTGGTGTCCTCAACACAGGGTATGACCTCAACTGCGATGGAGAGATGTGTGGTTCAGTGACGAATCAAGATTTCTCCTCCATTGAGGGGATGGAAGAGCACGGGTCTATAGACGCCGGGGAGAACGTTACGCCGGGAACTGCATACAGGCCGTAGACAGGTTTCGTGGGGGTAGCATTTGTATGTGGGCGAATATCTCTCATCGTGGCAGGACAGGTTTGGTCCATATCCAGGGCAATCTTAATGATCAACTTCACCGCTCGATCGCATACTGCGCGGATCCCAAGAGCCTGTCTACACAACAACGTTCATGGTTTACCCTGGCCCTCCAGATCTCCGGATCTGAACCCGATAGAACACCTTTGGGATGAATTGAATAGACGGCTACGTCAACCACAACCCCAGACGTTGCAGCAGTTGGCGTTTGCATTGCAGGCCGAGTGGAATACCATTCCCCAGGATGTGATTCGCATACTAGTCTCTTCCATTGGCAGGATATGTCAGGCCGCTATTGATTCCAACGGGGGACATACGCGATATTGATGGTAGCTGACCTTCACCTTGGACTTGTCCTATGTACCGATAACTGAGATGACTACAATCACCAAGTGTTCGCTCCACACCATTTTTGCTCAATACCTTGTTCGGTTCCTCGTATAAATGTAATTTCCTACCTGGCACAAATCTGGCTTTGCGTTTCTTTTTTTAGGAGTATATATAATAGGGATTGTATTTGTCTAATTTTAACATTTTCTGCTACACACTTGGAACAGCCCCGTCGTCTGTTGTACCACTTGCAACAAACACAGTTTACAAATACCAGTCGCTTCATGATCTTGGTGTAAACTTGGCGCCTGATGCCACGTCATTCACGTTCAAGGTAAGTGTTGTTTGTTAGTTGTTTATTGCACAGTCAGCTAATTCAAGCTATATCACGGCAACCCGTAAATAATCGAGTTCCACTAATGATGTACAGGTACGATGGCACGCCTGACCATCAGACAAACTGAGTGGCCTCTTATGGAATTCAACAGATCGCTATGGCCTATTCTAAGTCAGTTCCCAACGGACTTCCAAGGCAACCAATGAACACACACATTGTCATTATACATCTTCATATTGTTAATACAGATCGTTTTTTAACGGTCAGTACATATGTTATCAGTTCAAACCAGCCAGTCCATAATGTTAATAATAGTTAAAGGTGATAGAATAATAGTAAATGAATTATTCTTTAGATTAAAGGTTGTAAAGTTAAGTTGTTTTCTCCAAGGTCCGCGCGGAAAACGATGCTTTCGTGGCCCTGCTGCAGGAGGATGGGGTAACCAATCAGAACATATACGAGGTATTGATTGGCGGATGGCACAACACCCGATCAGTTATCAGAACAGGCAAGCAGTTCAACAGCAGAGTTGAAGCTCGCCACACACCACTGAGTTCAACCCAGTTCCGTGATTTCTGGATTTCTTGGGAGGATGGTGTGATCTCTGTTGGGGCGGGGAAGGTGGTCGGAGTTGAGATGTTCATGACGTGGACGGATCCCACACCTCACCCTGTCAACTACATCGCTGTGTCTACTGGATGGGGGTCAACGGGTCTGTGGGAGTTTTGTAAGTAGCTCAGCATCCCCGTCAGTAGTAAACTGGTAGTACCTGAGTGAGTGAGTGACTTGTGCTCAATGCCTACATGTCACTATTGTAAGTATTATGTATTACGGGAGACAATCAAAGTTACATACTCTGGTTGTAGTGGTTTACAGAGGAGCACGGACATGGTGCTGACAGCGATCATCATCAGTGATCAGCTCATCCTGGTACAATAAGTACAGTGATTTCCAGCGTCTTAGACCACTGGAGTCCTACTATGACATGAATAAATTAAAGTATTTTTTCGTCTGATGTTTGAGGATCGCCTCCGTGGTCTAGTTGATAGAGCGTCTGCCCGGAGAGCGGAAGGTCGGAGATTTGATCTCCGGCCGCGTCATCCTAAAGACGCCTTAAGATGGTATTTGTTGTTACCCTTTCAGCATTAAGTGGATAAAACAAGGACTGGTCGGCTTGGAGTCAGTATTGTGTGACTGAATGATATCCCTCTGAATATGTCACATGGTATGTCAGTGGTCTGGCACTGTAAACCCGACATGAGTCCGAATGAGCTCTCATACACAGGCATGTGCATACACGTTGCTTTGCATGTGCAATAATCCTGAACGCAACGTTAAACTCCATTTCATCTCATCCCACCTTCATATTTTTATATTGTTCTTATAAGAGGTGAATACGTCTATAATAATGAAATCTTCTTTCGCTTTTGGATCTTCCATCAAACGGGTGAAAGACACATTTGGTTGTCTGTACAAATATAACCCAACCAATTAATTCCAGACTGATCCTAACCCGTTTTATCTGTAAGACAAATACAATAATATAACTGTATTTACTATGATCACATTACAGACGGCAGCCCTCCAGTAGTTTGTCTGTCAACGGCAAACGACTACCGCTACCATTCCGTTGACGACCTCGGCGTTCACCTCAATGGACGAACATCCTTCACCTTCTGGGTAAAGGCCACCAATGACGCTCTCATCGCGTTACTTCGCAACAAAAACGACTACGATCAAGACATATACGAAATCGTCATCGGGGGCTGGGAAAATAGCAAGTCTGTCATCAGAGAGAAGAAGCAAGGCCCAATCCTGGCGCATGTGGACCACGTTCCACTATCAGGGAACAAGCACCTGCCCTTCTGGATCAGCTTCAGCGATGGCACAATCGCCGTGGGTGCTGGCACAGAGGTCGGGACACGTCAGTTCATGTCGTGGAAAGACCCAACTCCAACACAGATCGGATATGTCGGCGTCGCAACTGGATGGGGGGCCACTGGGCAATGGCTTTTCCCTAAGAATATGGCCTAAGGAATTCAAGCTTAAACCAAAACTTTTGGTCGTCAGTGGAACCTATATAGTGTTAAAAATAATTCCAATCTTTTTTTGCTTACTTTCAACAGTAAACTCGATGTGTCTTACACAACCATTAAATTAAATACCATTGTCTCTGTCTGTTGATCTGGCTTATCTTTCTACAATGTCTGGCTGTCACAGCCACGAGTGTCGAAACGGTTTTGATATATTTAGATTTGTATCTTTCATATGATGAAACTATTGCAACTGTTGTTTACATGGGAGAACCAAATACCTGTCTCCGCCCGATGGAAGGGATCACAGCAAGTGAGGATCATATTCAAGTGAAAATATATGAATAATGAACATTTTTCATAACAGTTAGAAGAATTCAATTTGTCGTTGCTAATTCTGGCTTACAAGCTTTACAAACATTTATGTTTCATCTGATATAAATTCAATAATTAATACCAAGGCTGCAATATATTCAGTTTATTCTCTGTAATCTCTTTCGTTGAACGTTATTTACAATATATACACTGTATAATGTTTTGCACTGAAATAAACTGACTGCAATATGAATGTGTTTGTATTATAACATGTAACGCTTTTGTAGATTATACACATACTTTATATCACAAATTACAGTTGAACTACTATTGTCGTAACTGCGTATAGGCTTAACTTCACCCTACTACGGTTACCTAATATATTGCATCATAGTCAATGCAAGCCATGACTCTACAACTCGCCTGGTCAGCCAAGGCTCATTTAAGTCAAGGAGTGATTGGTCTGTTGGCCCCGAGCTGTCTCCATCAGCATTCATAAAGGCACGTACACACAATGATGAACGCAATTATGCTCTCATACCTTTACTATGGCTTCGGTCCATCGCTCAAAATTTATCCTTTAAACAAGACAGCGTAGGCTCGTTACAGAGTGGGACAAAAGAGCGCTGCCAAGGACCGCACTCCTCTGCCAGTGTTACGGGTATCTTTTTAAGGTGATCGAACCTGACCTTTCGTTGTCAAGTTGATTCGATCAAGCATCGAAACAATCACGATGATAAATGAGAAATGACATTTCTCTATAGATTGCCCTTTTAACTAGATACTTTCTGTCACCACATGTGTGCAATCATATCATTGAAGTTATCGCAGCGGTAATCATCATTGCAAAGGTTTAATTTGTTACAATTTTCTCATGTTTTTAGATGCATTTTAACCTTGATTTAATTTTTTGAAAGTTCATGGACACAACCATGAACCAGTAAATGACATGGATATCCCACTGATCAACATGTCAGTACAGCCCCACCAAAATCATCAGACAACTATTTTGAAAGGCTCTAAGCTTGTTGAATATTTTAAACCACATTTCCCGTGACCTCACCCAAATGCCAATACCGCTTTGACATTACTCCATTGTATGATGCATGAGACATACTCCTTTTGTTCCCCATCTTCCTGGAACATTGTCATTGCTGTTGTCTTTCCATGACGTCTGAACAGAATGAGGTGACTCAGGCTAAAACGTGACTGTTGTCTTTCCCTAAACTCTAAACAGAATGGGGAGACTCGAGCTTCACCACGACTGTTGTCAACCTCTAATAAACAAGTGTTTTCAAACATCGAATGTACTTCGGTCAAGTACCATGATTGTTTTGAATATAGCTGCATGTCTAGGTTAAAGGCCCACCCATTCAAATTTCTTGAGTTGGTTGGTTGGTTTGTTGTTTAACGCCGCACTCAGCAATGTGCCAGCAATATGACGGCGGTCCGTAAATAATCGAGTCTGGACGCGACAATCCAGTGATTGATATCATGAGCATCGATCCACGCAATTGGGATCGATGACATGCATCAACCAAGTCGGCGAGCCTGACCAACCGATCCCGTTAGTCGCCTTTTACGACAAGCATAGTCACCTTTTACGGCAAGCATAGAGTTGCTGAAGACCTATTCTACCCCGGAATCTTCACGGGTCAAAATTTCTTGAGAGTTGTTTTCTTTCATGACAACTAGTTATTTCAGCCCCCTTTCACCTCACCTCATGTGTATGGTTTACAGCAATACGTCACATCATACCAGCCGTACGTTATATTGGGATGTGTACGGTACACTACCAATGCATAATACCATAACACATACAACATACCAGACAATCGTAATAGTCTTAAACGCCGTACTTGTTATACGTAATGCTACATTAGGTACGCTGTAGTAGCCATACGTATGTTGTGATGCCTACATCGTGCATGCTACACGTTATACTGTAATACGCACAGCCAGGTAGCAATACGTAATACTGTAACAGCAGATGTCTGCTCAGCAGCAAACAACACGTGCTAATGAAGGGTCGTCCATGTTGAAGCCATCCTGTTCAAAACAATCAAATAATGATGGACGTTTTCGACATTTGTACTTGAAACAACATTTGAACAAGAATACCTGATACAAGAGAAGGTAAACATTGACAAGCCTGGTCTCAAATTTATGTGTGTTCATGTCCACAAACATGTACAACCATAACATCGTCATATGCATTATGAACTTGATGAGGAGAACGAGGTCAATGTGTTCCCATGGGATGGGAGAGGGTTTGCTTGCACCAGACAATGACTGATTGCAGGGCAAACACAGTGTTACTTTCTATTGCATGTGTCATATTGAGTGAGTGAGTGAGTTGGGTTTAACGCCGCGTTTAACATTATTCCAGTTATATCACGACGTGTTAGCTTAATGTGGGAGGAAAGCCCGAAGTGATGCAGGTCTCAGACGTTTACCACTTCGGTGAAACCCACGAGCACGGGTATGGTGCTGACAAACCTAGAAACATAATCGGGGCGAACCGGGATTCGAACCTACAATCATAGGTTTCTAGCGTGCCCAAGGGACGCAACTCTGCACAGCGAATCGCGGCGCCTTAGACGATTGGGCCACCCGTGTCCCCGTCTCATATTGCACTGGTATTAAGTTAGGAATGTACTTCTCAGGCTCACCAATAAGGCTGAGGACCATACCAGCCGCGGCTGAGTTTATTCCGACAATCATACATATTGGCGCAAATGTTCGTGCTTATTACTCCCGAACACAATAATCATAGTGAGATCCTACACCTGGGTTTCAGGCTGAGTACGTTATGAACCCTTGATACTGTTCAAGTACCGGCGCATTGCAGGGGTATACATTATGGCGACAATGTATTTGTAACTCAGAATAGCTTCTTTTCCTGAGCTGGATTAGGTGAAGGTGGCATTAATAAGTTGACAAGTGATGAATACGGTAATCGAATGGTTAAATAGATAATCATAACAAATATCTGCTAAAGCAGAGTCTGTTTTACGATTCCGACTATCACCAGAAGCATGTGTTCATGAATCACAATCAAATAGGTGTTCGCGAAAACGTGAGCTTGTATACGAGGTATAACTAAATAAAAGCTATATACGTACTGAAGACATTGAAACATCTTTTGACCACTGAGAATGATTACATAACACACTATAGAACATCTTGTTACCGATCATTACATTCTCGGTGAGGAAGAAGAATGGTCACCGTATGTAGCCACTTTGGTTGTGTGTGAACTACTGAGTGTCTATAATGGTGCAAGGGAGACTAATCAGGTTGCTTCACGTACACAACAGTTGCCGTTTATAGTGCACTGACAGCTCGCATGCCGGTGTATATCAGTCACCGCCAGAACAGTCAAGATAGCATTGTCACTGTGTGTGGGTGTGTGTGTCATGCACTGTTTGCCATGAACGGTGCAAGGGGGAGTACTCCGTCATGTACACAACACTGGAGGCTCATAGTGCACTGACAACTCACATCGCGGTGCGTGAACACAAGTCACTGTTGGTGTCATGTTATTGTTTACGTGCTACGCTTTCGCGGAATATTCTTTACCGTGATGTCATAACGTAACGTCACTGGTTTCTGCGTACACTGTAACGCACTCAGAAATAAACTAAATGAGCGGCAAGACGTGTTTTCACTGAGTTAACTGAAAGGGGATATTAAGAACTTACCAGTTACTTCAACATGGTCACAGTGTGGGAGGTATAAAATAGAGCTCACTGTCAACGGTGCACGGGAGACCACTTCTTTATGAACCCCACACCTCCCCCATTTCAAAATGCTGCCTCCGACGGAGACTTTATTGACATGTTGGCAGCCTTGTGAACACAACATACCACTGAGACCAGGTCCAAGCTCATGACACAACCAATGCGTGTCTGGGACTCTTTCACGTCAACACCAGCATGAAACAGACACGATGGTCCGCACAATTAGACCAGTGATTAATAGCATTGTCAATACTAGAAACAACGTCGAGAAAGTGTTCTTGGTGATCTCAGTCCGGACACTCTGTGTATGAAGCGAGTGAGTGAGTGAGTATGGTTTTACGCCGCTTTTAGCAATATTCTAGCAATATCACGGCGAGGAACACCAGAAATGGGCTTCACACATTGTACCCATGTCGGGAATCGAACCCGGGTCTTCGGGGTGTCGAGCGAACGCTTCAATCACTCGGCTACCCGGCCGCCCTTATGTGTTTGAAGCGAACTGATTTACCACAGGTGTCCGGCTCCGATCATGAAGTTTAGGTGTCTCCTTGCTTTTGACTACTGAACATTCAAAAACCTCTGTGCCAACACACCTGTAAATATGTGCAGTTAAAAAGCAAAACATGCACATGTTGAATGTGATAGTGAGCTTTCTTGAAAGGGTTTCATTCGTTTACATGTGAACAAATTGTACCATTAGTTATATACTTATCTTTCATGTAAGTGGAGACGGGGTACACCGTGGTTAAGGTGAGTGAGTGAGTGAGTGAGTGAGTGAGTGATCAAGTGAGTGAGTGAATGAGTTTTACGCCGCGTTTAGCAATATTCCAGAGCCCATGTGGGAAATCGAAACCGAGTCTACAGCGTGACGAGCAAACGCTTTAACGGCTAGGCTACATGTACCTCACCCCCCCCCCCCCCCCCCCCCCCCCCACGTACACACACACCCACCCCACACACCCGTGATTAAGGAATCCATAAGTCACTACAAAGACATGGTTTCGAATCCCCAAGTGGACAAGATATTTGAAGGCCATTTCTGGTATACCTACCCACAATAGTACTGTAAACGTGAAGAATATCCATCAACTATCCTGGAACGTAACCCGCCACTTCAAATGAAGTCTGAACGTCTGAAACATTAGCTTTATATATTTTATTATTGCAGTGTTAGTGGCAATATTAGTAGTAGTAGTAGTGGTAGTAGTAGTAGTAGTAGTAGTAGTAGTAGTGGTAGTAGTAGTAGTAGTAGTAGTGATAGTAGTAGTAGTAGTAGAAGTGGGTTGTTTGTGAATAATTAAGCCTGAACAAGACAATCCAGTGACAGACATCATCAGCATCGAACTATGCAATTGGGATAGAATGTTATGCATCAACCAGCCGACCCATTAGGCCTCACGATGTAAGTCGCCTCGACCAATTCTAATCATGATCTTCACGGGTCGGGTTTCATTGTGACAAACACGTGCATATGACATCATGA